AGAATCCGAAAATCTCTTCCAGCTAAAGGTGGCCAGGTTCTTGGGCTATCAGTCATTATATAAAAGAGGAAAGACCTGTGGGGTCCTAGCCACAGAAGGGAAGGGAAGGCTATGCCAGTCACAGACAGTTCCAGGAAGGCGTGCCAAAGCAGGGCAGGACACGGACATCAGAAGGCTGGGCCAGCCACTGCTGCATTCTCCTTCCTGATGCCAGGAGAGGTCTTTAGGCCAGGACTGCCAACAGCCTGGCCATAAATGAGGGGGCGGGGTCTGAGTGGTCCCTGTAACAAAGGAAAGCATAGTCACAGTTACCATGGGAACCTGTCTTCCTTGCCTTCTTTACATGAACAGGGGGTGTTAAGGAAGGCTTCATGAGGCTCTGTGGCTCCAAAACCTCCCCCCACCATACACAGGTGCTCTGTGCTACACTGGGAATGTGTGAACCTCCAGAAGAGAATGATTTCATCTTCTCCAACCTCCACACAACCTCCATCCATATCCCATCTCCATCATAGACTTTTAAAAAAACAGTACTAGTAAACACTTTAAATCTTTGTATTCATAAAGACTCCTTCGAGGTAACTATTATTTATCCCTATTTTGCAGAAGAGAAAACAAAAACTCCTCACTCCACGTTGGTCTAAATTGTCTTGTTTAAGCTTCTGTATTTTTCCTTCACAGCAAACTGTGATCTGTTTAATATGATTCCTATGCACTATAGGCTTGCGGAAGACAGAGACCACAGCTGTGTGGCTCCCTGTGTGCCCACTGTGTCCAGTACAGAGCTCAGCAACTAAGAAGTAGTCTAGAACAGGGGCTCTCAGCCTGTGGTTGTGGCCTCAGGGTTGCATATCAGATATTTACATTACAATTCATAGCAAAAGCAAAACCACAGTTATGGAGTAGCAACAAAAGGAATTTTATAGTTGTGGGACAACATGAGGACCTGTATCAGAGGATCCCATTAGGAAGTTTGAGAACCACTGCCCTAGAAAGATTTGCTTAGTGACTAAATGCAGGACTGAGGCAAAGAGACCCTAGGAAGATGAAACAGCTGTCTAGTCCACAGTGTTACTGGAGACAGGGAGAGGTTCATTATCCTAGGACTCACTTGGTAACATCTGATGCACTATGGAGACAAAGTTTCTCTCCATTGGTGAGAAAGAGCAGTGGGGGATGACCCAGGCACAGGTGAGGAGCAAAGCTGCTCACTCCCCTTTGCCTCATTCCAGCTCTCCTTTTCTAATCCTCTTTTGCAAATCCTTACAGCATCGTGGCCTACAAACAAGTCCCAAGGTCACAAGGAGAAGGTTCAGAGAAATGAAGGAGCTGAAAACACCATCGATTACCAAGTTCTGCCCATGAAACCCAAATTCCAGCCTTCCAATGGCCTGCTGATGTCCTTAGGTTCCTGGTGGGAGGGAAAATCACTTCCTGGGTGTTGGAGGAAAGGCAGAGGGTAGGGTCTGGGGTACCGGCTGCTTGCACCGGCATCCTAGGTCCTGGAGGGGTTCAGGCTCCATGCAGCTAGCCTTTCTTTCATCACTGTTTTAAAGGTTCCAATTAAGGCATAACAAGTCACATGGGCACAGTGCTAGAGGTTCTATGGAAGACTTATGCCTGTATTTCACCAGCCCAAGGGGGATGAACATGAAATGGACATTTTGTAAAATCTGACATTTTTGTATGAATAATAATAGTTTTTAAGTTAATGTAAAATCTTGAAAAAAATCAGTTTTCTTGGTTGAGTCTTCCTCAGCTAGGAACAAGAGAACAACAAAGTTCATGGCAGTGCTAACACTGTTGCTTTTAGAAAGCTCAGTTAGTGGAGTGCTTGCCTAGCATGCACTTAGTCCTGGCTTCAAACCTCCATGCACATATGTAATTCCAGCACTTGAGAGGCTGAGGCAGAAGGATCAGAACTTTAAGGCTATCTTCAGCTATACTGCAGTCTGAGGCCACCAGGAATACATAAAGTCCTGCCTCAAAGAAACAAACCCAGCAACAACAGCAAAATCCAGCAAGTACCAGTGAAACGTGCAGCCGGACACTTTCAATCATTACTCTCTCAAGCAGATGGTGTGAAGAGAAGGGGGCGTTTAGCATCAGTTTTTCTGAGTTACTTATTCTGATTGTCCCTTTTGCTCCAAATAAAATCAACATTTACATTGTGAGTTCAAATCATTCTTTTCTAGGTGGGACCCCCTGTAACTACCGATGTAGCATTCTCAAGCTGAAGTGAAATACAGTTTGTATCTGATTCCCTTGCAGGGAATGATCAAAACTTGTCTTCCCTCCTCCTCTCTCCCAACTTCAGTGCATTTCCAACTCCCATCCTCTTCCTTCTGTCCTCCTTGCCTCTTTAACTCTTAGGTGCCAAAAGCCCCATCTTTGGTTCTTCAATACTCTAAATTTACCTCACAGACTCCAGAATTTTTTCAACACCTGAGTCAACACCTCCAGCTCCCTATCCCCCCCCCCCATTCACCATCTAAGATCACTATATCCATCCTCTCTTTCCTGACTGATAGAATAGCATCGCCTCCACTTCCCAGGTCACCAGGCTCCAAATCACCTCTGACCTAGTCCCCTTTCTCAAAGTTATCTCTTAAATCCAGCTGCCCCATTACAACCTCCTCCTCCTTTTTTTTTTTTTTATCACTTTTTGCTTTGGTTTAAAAAAAAAGATTTTTATAACGTGTGTGTGTGTGTGTGTGTGTGTGTGTGTGTGTGTGACCACGTGGGTCCCGAGGGTCAACCACCTTCACCTGCACAGTCATCTCACCAGCTCTTGCCATGGCTTTAGCTATTTATTTCTATCTATTTCACAGTCTGACCCCACCCCCCAGCACCTGACCTCTGTACCTTTTTAAATGAGAAGGTGGAAGGTATATAAATGCTCCTTTAAAAAAATCAGCTGACTAAGCAGATAGGAAAAGCTTACTCACTAATATTTAAATTGGGGGACCAGAGAGAGGGCTCAGTGGTTAAGAGGACTGGCTGGTTGCTCTTCTAGATGTTCAGAATTCAATTTCCAGCAACCACATGGTGGCTCACAACCATCTGTAATAAGATCTGGTGCTTTCTTCTGGCCTGCAGACATACATGCAGGCAGAATACTGTATACAAATAAATAAATCTCTAAAAATATTTAACTTGGACATATTTAAACATATAGATAGTAGTAGGAAGAGCCCTTCTGTAAAGGCAGTCATAAGTGCTCACCAGACAGGTGTTTTGTGTACATAATTACTAGTTTGTCAAAAACCTTATAGGAAAGCATATCTGTACTTCAAAGGTCACAGTATTGAAAGCTCAGAGATGGAACTATTCCAGAATCACAGTTATTAAATGAGACAATGGGGTTTAAGTCTAAAATCTCTTTATTCCATCTTGCTGCTCTATTTTATATCACTGTAGTATTGGATTAATGATGTTGGATTAATTAATTATCACTAAATCCAGAATCATTAGGACATCCATAGGCCATCCATTTCCAAGGTCTGTCATATATATATATATATATATATATATATGATAAATATGAAACAACGCCTCACTATCAAGCCTTGGTTGACCTCGAACTCAATATGCAGACCAAACTGGACTCAGACTCAGAGATCTGTCTGCTTCTACCTCCCATGTGCTGGGATTAAAGGTGTGTGCATCAAGTTCAGCTTCATTTTAAATTACATGTATATGTGTTGAGTGGGACTGTGCATGTAAGTGAGGAGAAGGCTGAAGGCTCCAAGGATAAGAATATAAAAATTTAGATTCCAGAAATAAGAATGTAGGAATAAAGAAATATAAAGTTGTAAGCCTATGAGAATGGGAGCAGACTGTCAGCAGCTTTCTCAGCAGCTTTCAGATTAACTACTAACAGTGGGTTATTCCACTTTACAACCCAGAGCTCTATTCACAAGGCCGAAGCACCTCTGTAAACTGAGAGCCCAACACCTCTGGTCATCCTTGATCAACGAGACAAATACAAGCTTTAAGTTACATTTTAGGAGATAGATATACGACCTCTGAGTTACACCCTATCCCTGCTGTGTGAAGCTGGCAGCATCTAAGGGGAGAGCACAGGGCTGCAGTAAACGCTACCAGGAAGCACCAAGGAAGACAACAGATTAAGTACAAACACTAGTTTAACTGAAAAACTCTGTTAATGGAGATTGTAAAGTAAGGTAATCTATATCTGAGTTTTACCTCAAAATTGTAAAAATTCCTTTGTTCAGACCTAATGCTTGGTGCCTCTACTATAAGTGGGTTCAGAAACCAGCCTTTGCCACAGCCTTACAAAATCCATCTCTGGCTGTGGTCTCTGCTAGCTGATAAGTTTTTTGTGCCCCATGGAGATTTTTAATTTAATTTAATTTTTTTCCTGGAATCTTGTTTCTGGATTAAAGTTTGATTCTGGTTTATTAGACTTTGGTGGTCTGTCCCCATCTTTGCGCGACCCCCCTGGGCCCAACAAAGGCAAAAGAGGTCTCATAGAGCTGGAGTTATATGTGGCTGTGAGCTATCAGATACAGGTACTGGGAACTGAATTCTGGCTCCATTCTCCTCAAAATCACTCTCATAAACCACAGGCATTCCTTTTCTTGAAAATGCCTCACAAACATGGCAGGAAAACAGAAACAAAACAAGAATCAGGAAATGGCTGCCCTGACTGGAACATAATGTGCTTTGCTACTGTTCTATGTGGGAAACATCTGTGTAACACCCGCCCACCAACCTCACTGATACTAAAGGAGTGTTTCCATCTCCCTGAATTGGTGTCAACTTATAAGACTGCAGGAGAGGGGAACTGTGCAGGACCTACCGTGAAGTGAGCACGAAGGATAAGTGTGTACTTACGTACGCCTTTTCTTATTAGCCTGCATGGTCCGATTCTCATAAGCAAATTACCATCTGTTCAGAGAAACTTTTAAAAACCCAGAAAAATAGGCACCCCATTTTCCTGTCCTAACAGGTACAAATGAGCACATGATCCAGGATAAATAAAGCATCTTTTATAGGTTTATTGGTCCATTACTTTAAGTGAGGTAAAGATTTTTTTAATTTACAAGCTAATAGTTTATCAAGCAATACAAATTCTTTGTTTACCTCAAAATGTAATACTAATTCCATAGTAAACAACAAACAGAATTTCTTACACACAGATACACAAAAAATCAAAGCGGACAAGAACCTCGTGCCAGCATAAAAAATACAACAAAACATCTCTAGTTCTGTAACAAAGAGAAAGGTGACATTCTTTTTCGGTAGTTTCATGAGATAAAGACTTAGTTCTGTAAATACATCACTTTCTTATCAACACATATTTCCTCAAGCACTTATGTTCACAGCTTTTGTTTTGGTTTAATGGCAGTATGGAGCGAGCCAGCACACCAGGGTGGGACTCCATACCTCAGAAGCCTGTTTCTTTCTCTGGAAGTTTTAAACACAAAGAACAATTTCAAAAAAAAAAAAAGTCCAAATATTTGTTTTCATCCCCCTTGAAGAGTTAGAATGACAGTTAGAAGGTTTGCTGGCAGTTTGCTTCATGGGAGTCTGTCAGATGTAGGCTGTCTCTCCATGCATTCCTGACGCAGGCATGAAGGGAACAGGCACACAGAAATCACAGAAATACAATGAGCAGGGACTCTGAGGGAGCCCAGCCCTGCACCGCCTAGGTGGGCAGTGCTGACTGGTAAAGATGCTGGCTTGTGCTGCTTTGTCCCTGGATGAAGGCCCAGTGGACACAGCTGTTTTGTTACAGCAATCTACCAATCGACACGATGCTTTGCAATCTAGGGAAAAAATTTCTCCCCCTCCTTCCCTCCAGCATAGTTCCTGGCAGAGTGCCAGTCTAAGGCTGTGGACCAGCCTGTCCAACAGCAGCGTGCACAGGTGTTAGCTGCTCTGACCTGGACTGTGGAGAGCCCAGAATCACCCAATACTTGGGCGGTACTTCTGGGAGAGGCACATTTGAACCCTTCAACACTGGCTTTAATAATGAGTGAGTTGGCAGAACAAGTATGCTATTTGGCATTTCAACCTTTGGAGAATTTCTATCCTAGTGTGCTCTGGGGCCCACTCTGAAGAAGCAAGGTAAACCTTTCATGCTGCCATAATCTAGGGGTTCTCAGAAGCTATGCAATTTGTCACTGCTGATAATGTCTGTATCCTCCACACCCCAAACTAGGCCAAAGCACACGAAGCTTGTCTTTCTTCCTCAAAAACATCAAAAAGGGCTGTGCTCCCTGTTTCTTGACATTATTTTCAAATACCACTTGCCAACAGAAACATTTAGTCTTGCTTCCCAAAAGGCCACCTTCCTTCTGTGACCTATACCTCTGGCTTGTGACTTTTAAGAGGACTGAAGATGGCCTATAATAAGTTTCTAGACCAACTGCTTCTACATGTAAAACTCTATCTATGCAAACATTTTAAAACACTAGCTGAAGAGTAAGGCAATTAGTGGGCACTGACAAATTTTTAAGAACTACTGTTATGCTTTAACAGTCTGTGGCTTTTTATGGATGTGTTGGTTTTCAAGTGCTAAGAACACCGATATGAGATACACATCTTATTTGTCTCTTTAAAAGTTTCCCCACCCCACAGCGCTTATTTACAAACTACAATAGTTAAGAACTAGTAACATTTTTTGCCACACATAAAGTATTGGATAGTCAGTCATACCCAGGAATATTCCTAACAGATATGATTAGGAGATAATGGTCAGCCCCTGTAACAGCGCTTCCAGCCTTCTTAGACACCGAGTTCCTGCCCTCTGATGTGTGCAGGCATGGGGACAACTTCAAAACGGAACACTGACGACCTACAGAGCAGGTTCGTAAAAACCGAGTCTCTCATTAGTCACTAAATTAAAAATAGGGAGGAAGCAAGTAGCCCCAACACACCGACTGCACCTCTATCTGGCCCAAAGAGGCCATTTTCCTCAACTCTACTGCTAAGTGCCTCCCGCTACCTGAGTAGAGCAAGTCACAGGTGGTGAGAAGGCACATGCAATCTGTTGTCATCCTGAAGACTCTTGAGAGCGAGAAGGCAAGCCCAAATTCCCAATGTAATTTGTAACTGAAGGTGAGCAAAGTACCCTAGCCATATGCTTACCTTACTTCATTTCCAAATACCATTTATGAGAAGATGGGTCCAGAAGTGGGTGCCCAGCCCCAGTCCCAGGAGCTGATCCTCCAAAAGAATCACCCTTCACAGTCACCAGCTCCACCTAGCCAGAGAAGAGCCCACTTCCAGCTGACTCTAAGACCCAAACCAGTAACGTCAACACAGTCTCTAAGGCAGTCCTTGGCTTTGTTCTACCCACCCCAAGCACTCAGGATAGTGTAGTGTGGTGTAGTGACGTTACCATGATTCAAATGACCTCACTGAAACAACCAGCTACCTGGTACCTAGAGCTTCAGAAGGTCCTGCCTTCACAGGACAGGACCAAGTCCCAGAGGCTGAGTGTTCCTTGGGTGCTATCCTAAGAGAAGCAGTGCCATCACACTCGCTTCTAAAGTCAACTTCCACTGGGCTTCATCAAGGGCTGCAGTGTGCACGGACAGTTTCCTCCCGTGGACAGCAGAAAGAGTACATTCTACTCAACATCTAGAGCACACTCTATGGGGTTCACATCTGTCCCTAGGCATGGTGGGGCTTTCTTGTTTCAGCTATGGGAAAATACCTGGTAAGTTCAGAAGAAACCCGGTGAAGCACCAAGCCCGCTGCCCCCCTAAGCCTACCTTCCACTCACCAACAATCATTACTGAGTTTTAGAAGATAAAACCCAACTTCACACAGGCTGAGGAGTGAGCCCCTCCTTACTCCAGAACTAAGCGTCCTTGCTTTGAGTGTGCAGCCCAGATTCTTCTTGTAAATTGTCAGCATTAATAGTACCCTTTTCTACTACAAATCATAACACTGTCCTAAACTCTTGCATCTCTCAAATCTCCTTGGTTTTAAGAATTTTTTTTTTTTTTTTTTTTTTTTTTTGCCTGGGCAGATTTCTAACCCAGTGAACAAACCCTCCATTTCTGAGGACCTGGGCAGTTACAGGGCCAGCTTTCATTTCACTGTCCTGTGTTCAAGCCTCCACAGCCATCCATATCTCTCTACCTGAGGTACAGTGCTCTACCCTCAAGGCAAAGCCTCATGGAAAACAAACAAGAGGGATCTGTGACTTCAGGGCAGAGGCTCAAGAAGAACTAATGAGGCCTCTCTCTAAGGCCTTTTGGCACTGTGGTCTCTGAGCAATATTTTGTGGGGGGAAATCTCTTTTGGGCTTGGCCAAGAGGAAGCAAATGCTTGGGACTGCTGAGCTTCCGGGGACTTGAGGGAGCCCCAGAGTAGACGGGTAGGAGGCCTCTTTCCACTGCCTTCTGCCCCTTTTTCTCTGGGCCAGGCTCCTCAGCGCACCAGATGCTAGCCTGAAGACAGGGAGAAGAGTGCCTTCTTGTGCATGGCTGTTCCTGGCCTAGCCACTGATATCATTTCTAGGGGGTAGAAAGTTTCCATTATTCCAGCTCTTTCTGGATCTCAAAGCCTAGGGACATTGCTTGCTGGCCAAATAAATAGAACAAGACAGAAATTTTAAGATGTCGTAAAAGCCAGTCTCTCATGAGGGAATGGCGGTGGATCCTGCTTCTCTCCGTACACTTCCCCATGCACCCCAGGGCTGTTTTCACAGGCCTTCCTTCTTGTGTAGCTAACCAGCACACAGGATTGACTTGGGATTTCAGCAACCAGCTAGTCATCAAATTTTAGCTTCTCCTTAATTCTTTCTGTAGTTCTTGCCAAACATTACACTGGACACTTATCAAGCACACAGTCCACAAAGCAAAGTTTCATGTTTCCCAAAGATGAACATCACTGCTGGGCCATATATCAATGGAGACCTGGAGGTGACTGGACACATGCCTGACTCTACCAGCATGCTCAGGTTGACTCTGGTCATTTACACCCACACCAACCTGATGGCTTCAGAGGTAGAATGAGATGCTAAGCCACTGAAGTTTGGAGTGGACAGACTGTTCTTACCTTTCCACTTCAGTGGGCCATTTCTATTTGTACCAAACAGAATTCACATCAAAGGATTTCAAGATGGCACAGAGGGGGTTTGGGCAAGTACCAATAGTTGCAGGAACTATTATTTCAATCACAAACTTGTCAAATGTGAGGAAAAGGCAAATTGTTTCATGCTGTCTATGATGTCCCAAACGCAGCTGACGGGAGGCCAGCTCAGCGCGAGGGAAGGAAGGCTGTGCGCTGATTAGAATTTGCAAATAACTTGTATGTGAAGCAGTAACTTGACTGCTTCATTTCAAAAACAAACAAAACCCTTCCATTTACTCGAGGCTCAAATTTATGGGTTTTTAGCAAAGAGTCACAGATGAAAGAACACACTATGCAGCTGCTTTTCAACAGTGACCTGAAAAAGAGCCTTTCTAGCTGTTGGGTTTATGGCAACTTGAAAAGTTTCAAATGAAGACTTTAAGCACAGCCAGCAGTCTCCAGATTTTGGCAGCAAACGGAGATTTCCACATATCTAGAAGCCAAGAGCATGTTGTCACTCTTCTCGTCTGAGTGCCCTGCAGGTACTTCCGTCCTGACCACAGAATTCTGGGGGTCAAACACTCATGTAGAACATTCACATTGAATTTACAAACTGGTGACGGTCACGACAATGTGACATACCAGCCCTCACTGCAAGGTTGCCCGGATATCCAGTGGGCATGACAGGAAGTATTAAACCAGACATTTTTGGTGAAGTAAAGGCAAATTGCATAAAACAGACACTGGTGCTGGGGCTTGGCACACAGGAGAGTCGCTGACCATAAAATAGCAGCTGTTTCCTAAGAGGTCTAAGAGCAAACACGACAATGGTTAAACAAGCAAAACAAGCACATTGACACCTTCACATAAAAAAATGCATGTTTTTGCCAATACACACCTAAAATCTTCTCATCTATAGCATTCTGGTGCCAGAAACAAGATCCAGGAGCATTCCCTTCAGCTTCCTGAGACATCGCATAAGGACAAGGACGCTGGCTCAAGCACTGATGCACACGGACACTGATTTAAATGGACCCATGTGAACCAGAAACAAGTCAAAAGATGCCACTCACGATGAGCAGGCAGTAGGCCACAGTCATAGCCACAGGCCACTGTAAATTAAGGACTTTCCAAGAAGGTACCTATACCTCCTATGCTGGGACAGGTCAATGCCCTCAGGGGTAAAGTGCAGAACCTCATGGTCTCCACAGCAAGCCACAGCTGCCTTCTTCATGTCTCCTGTGTCCCTGAAAAGCAGGGTTGTTGTTCTGTCTCATAAAAGCAATTGGGCTGCCCCCAAAGTGATGTCACATGTCATCTGGGGGCTGTTCTGTCCCTTAGTTTCAAGTCTTCATAGTGTTCCATTTAGGAGGTTCCTTCACAATATGGAGGTATGCTTCTGTTGAGAGATGATTACAGACTCACAGACTCCAACAAGGAATAAATACTAACTGAAAATAACTGTGGTGGGAGGGAGCGGGGAGGTGCTGTTGTGCTGTTTCCTCATGGCCACCTCTCCAGCACTGCAGGGACTCTCTGGTTCAGGGTGCCATGCCCTGTGGAGGCAGAAGTCTCTGTCCCAAGAACAAATCTACTTGGTCTCTTGTTTTTCTTGCAGTAGTGGAATAATTGACTCCCACGCCATGAGGCACTGAAACGACAACATCCACACAAGGTCAGCTGCTGGATGCTACTCTGCCAACCCCGATCCTGCTGGGTCATCTGTGTTATCAATAGAGGAAGTGACAAGTGTTTGTCTGGAATGTGTCACCCCATCTGTATGAAAGAACAATGTCCTTACAAGACTTGCATGCATTCATGAGAGTGTGAAGCCTACACCCAGGGAGTGGAGATGGATCTACTCTAAGAAAATCTTTACTTCAACTAAGCAAACACTAGACCAGGCAGGAAAGTCCTGATGAGGACACCGGTTCTGAGCACCCATGGAGACACTGTTGGAGGTTTGGGTGGGGCTTGTACAAGGATGTAAACATGAAAAGCCTGACCTGAGTCAGGGTGTGTGGAAAACCTGCTCTGATTCACCAACCTGAAGTCTGGGCTGCTTGTTTGTGTCACTCTTAGATCTCCCCAAAGAATGGGAGTCCAACAATTCCTACAGTTATTTCTGTTTATGTGAAGAGTGGGGGGTACATGTACCATGACATTTGTGTGGATGTCAGGACAACCTTAAGGGGTCAATTCTCTCCTTCCACCACGTGGGTTCCAGGGATCAAATTCAGGCTGTCAGGCTTGGCAGCAAGTACCTTTACCCTCTCCAGTAAGCAATCTCACTGGCCCAACTATCAGGTTTAATTAGACCCATATACTGTTATGTATTTTATGTTTGCTGTTACACAGTTCGTAGTCAGAACATGAATACAAGCTGATAATCCTTTCTTTTCACTCCAGGTCCTTGTGACAGGCCAAGAACTTAGAAGACTTGGGCACTGCCTCTACGAGTGACTGGCTCAGCAGACTGTCCTCCCTCTGAAGGACAAACCCACTGTAACAGACAGCCTGGGGTAAAGGAGGACTGTGTGCTGAGTCACCTGGGGAGGAGTCCTGCAAAGGTGGGAGGGAGGAGAGAGGCATCAGGTCAGGCAGAAAGAGGAGTGGTGAAACTTCTCCCTGGTACCTTCCTGGTCGACTCAGAAGCCTGTCCTAAATACAGAAAGACGAGGTGGCCCCAGGAGCTTGTTCCAGCAATGACCCTGAAGGGAAGGCCATAGGATCCCAAACTCTCCTATCTACGAGGGTCTCTCTGCATGTCCCAAAAGGAATCATGACTGATCAAACTTTCACTTTGGTCCTCAAATGTGTCAGCTCTTTTCTTGCTCAGGGACCTTGCATATGTTGTATCCTTTGCCTACAGTACACGTTTGTCAGACCTTTGGCTCTAAGGATCAGAATAAATGCGATTTCCATAGACTGCTCTTCCCTGCCCACTCCACTAGGCCTCATCTCTGATAGACTGAGGGTGCCTAGAGGGCTGTGCAAATCCTGTTATTTATCAACTTTGTAAACAATCCTTTGCACACAAAAAAGTACAGATAAAAAACCGTCAAATACATGTAGAAGCCAAGATTAGGCCTCAAGACAGTTACCCTATTTATGGTACAATGGGAAGAAACAAGCATAGACTCGAGTTTGTGTTTTGGGATTTTAGAGATGGCGGATTCACCCACAACAGTCATGATGGAGACATGGTTGCTTTTAGACTGGGAAGTAAGAACATCAAGGTAATTTTTACTGACTGTTTGCTGAGTATGTTCTGGAAACTTGAATGAGCATTTTACTTTATCTTTATAATCATTCCATAAAAAATGACTAGCACTTACAAATCAAGAACAAGAGAGATGAGCATGTGTCTTGCTAACACACAGTCAGCAGGAGAAGCTTCTTGTAGGAAGCAAGGTCGTTTCTGAAAGTGTGTGGCTACTGTCTCCTAAGCTGATTGTGTGTGTGGACAATCCAAACTATGGTTCTGTCAGTTACATACTTGTAGTTTGGTACTCAAAGGGTGGGTCAGCTTGGGAGGACTTTTTAAACCTCTGTGAGTATTGGTTTCTTAAGCTTTAAATTGAAATTTATAAAATCTTTGTCACATCAGTTGACATGAACACAGGGTCCTGGAACTGATGCGGGAGAATTCTGTCAATCATATTTTAATAAAACGCTGACTGGCCAGGCAGGCAGTATAGGCGGGAAAGCCAGACAGGAAGTAGAGGTGGAGCAAAGAGACTGGGAGTATTCTGGGAAGCAGGAAGCTCCCTCCGCCACTCCTGCGCAGACCACCGGAGAGGCAGGATGTAACCTGCTCAGCTGAGAAAGGTACTGAGCCGTGTGGCTAACGTAGATAAGGATAATGGGGTAACACAAGTTATAAGAGCTAATAAGTAGCCTGACCTAATGGGCCAATCATCTTTATAACTTATAGAGATGTCTGTGTGATTGATTTTCTTTGGGAATTGCTGGCTGTGGGGTACTGGGCGGGACAGATACACCAACAAGCCAGCCTTTCATGTTACATGGAACCCTGACTAGGGGTGGCAAAGAAGAAAGGACAGACATACAGACACACATGCAGCAAACCTGGGATCAGGTGTTCACTCTGATAGACGGCTCCTACTCCAGCAACATGGAACCTCAATTAGGTCCCGCATAGGGGAGGGATTAACTAGTATCTGTAGATCTCTGTAGCAGCAGTCTCAGGCTGTAAACACTTGGTAAGAGGAAGCTACACCCTGATCAATTGTTGAAAACACTCACACTCAGACCCTGAGGAAGCTCTACGATCCCTCTGGAGCCTGGTCCATGATCAAACGGATTTGCCAGTTTCCCATGAGTCAGAGGCCTTGGAGGCCTCAAAATGGGTCAACAACAACTCAGGCCCTCACTCACTCAGGCCCTCACACACTCAGATCCTCACT